CAGTTGTGAAAACAAGTGTATGTCTGCTTTGGAACGTGTAGTATGAGGCATATTCAAATGGAGGCACATTCAAAACTGTCTATGAAGATGCCTCAGCCAGTCTTATAGCATCTGGTCGGTATCAGCAATTACTAGCTGCCTACTAGGGGTACTCTTTGTCCCTAAGAAATTGCGCCACATTTGCAAATCGTGTTACGACAACCCAGTTACGTTTAACACAGTCACCGAGTTGACCGCATCCAGAAGCCTGCGTGGCCCTCTTCAGACTGCGTCTACTGGCGCTCATCTCAGGCTTTAGGCTGTTACCATAGATTTTATTTGCGCATCCTTAGCAGAATTGCGCAAGAAAACGAATCAGTAAACAACTGAGTTAATGTATCACTCAATAAACGCCTGGCCCTTCGTCAACATATTTTTTGGTTTTATTTATTATTTTTATTTTTTGCTATATCCAGTGAATGTATATCGTGTCATTGTATAGTACAGAAATGACCACATGAGCAGATAATGAGAGATTACCTCCGAAAACAAAGGTAGACCATGTGAAACAAAATGATTGGTTTAAAAATGTACTTGCGTACAATGGCACGTTTTTTCAAACGTGCACTGTTTTATCTCTTCATTGCCTGACATTATTCAGATATAAGTGTCTGATACTCGAGGGAATGGCTTGTTCCCAAGCAATTTATGTGGCCACTATCTTATTTAGTGACTTCACCGAACGTAACACGCTACAAGTGTAAAGGTTGCACCACGTTTAGAGCATCTTACGCTGAGCTCGCTTACTCTCTATCAGTTGTTGCTGATTGCATATAATGTTATTTAAATATGGTAGCCAAGTTCTTGGCTAGACTATGTTGGCCGACATTAATCTATTCATCGACGGCTAAAAGCATTTTTAGCTTTGATTTCTGTTGTTTGCTTGATTTTTCCAGTCCGTAGGATTGATCATTATTAGACGTACAAACGCTGTGAATAATATGTCTACATTTGGCGATTGACTCATTGCAACTCCGGTAAGCTATCCGGTATCGCAAAGTGTTAAAATGTCGTTTATGTATAGATATACACTTCTGAAGTAACAGAACATCATGTTTTTCCTGATTCAACATCCATGTGCAGGACATGCGATGAAGCAATCCTAACGGGATTAGGCATTAAGCAGTAGCTGAGTCCGGACTCACATAGCGTTGTTTGTTTGTTTGTTTGTTTTCATCTCTATCATAATAATAAATCTCGATCGATATTTTGTCCTTTGATGAATTATTTCCAATTCACCGTCGTTTCCGCTTCTTCAGTAAAATTTTCTGTTAGCACGGTGCCTTTTCAATTTAGTTTGTCCACTATTTCCGAATCCCTACTTGGGTCTGTCTCTTTTCTGTGAAACCAGCATTTAATACAGAGCATACAAGCACCGCATGCATATATCCATCGTCTATATGCGGCATCGATTTTCGTTCGGGTTATCGTTTAGAATTACTTGCCGCGTTCCCTAATGCAGCTTGTTTTCCATCGTGCTTTCCTCATCCCCCACGATTCCTCGTATCCGCAAAGGATTTATATGGATTTTTGTAGTACCGATAGTATTCCACAAAAATGCCGAAAAAGAAAACTGCACCACTATAATGTTATCGCTGCTATTCCTTCTTCATAGATATACTGCACACCTTTCCTCATTACTACCTCAATGCGCATTGTGAATCTACAGTGTTTGTCTTCAGTGTATGTCCGTTTGTATTTGCTTCTCGGTTCTTTGCTTTTTTTTTTCGCTATCTTCCTATCTGTCGTTACCATCTTTGATTTTTATCGACTAGCTTGGCAATCGTGGCTAGACTCGATTGCAGCTGAGGTAGATCGCTCAGAAGGACATGACTTTTTGCATTCGCTGTTGCGGCCCGTCTCAGCATCCTTTTGATACTCATATCCGCGATGAGATTGGAAGTGACGCTATCGTGACCTTTCAGTTGCAGATGCTGTTTGCGCTGTTGTTATCTGCATGAGATGACTATTGAATCGCCATTCGGCAAGCTCACAGGCAGCGTATTGGAGCCGCTTCTTCAAGGATAAAAACGGCCTAGACGGAACAGTTTCTACCATCATAAAGAAGGCGTGCCGGTCATGCATCTTGTGCCATAATAAACGAAGCACTCATTTTTACATAAATAGCTCGAGGAACAGTAGATGCTAATATCGGAAGTACGAAGGAGGCCTTTTATCCTTTTAGAAATGCCAACGAGCTTTAAGGCCCTTTCCGTTTCAGTGCTGCTCTGTCTCGCGCGTTCCAACAGCCGATATATAGGTCTCAATATGCAATATGTGTGTTAGGAAAAAACTAGATCGTACACGCATTACTCCTATTTATGTTTTTTCTGCCAAAAAATTATTTTTTTTTAATTTAAGACATTTTCGTACTAATACACTTTTCATGACACTTAGCTAACCTAACTATTCTATCCACAAACTCTTATTTCTTTTTTCAAAATTTTCAAGTGCTTCGAATAGGTCCACGTTTAGCACAATGAACAATTATGGCCTCAAGTAAATGGGGCACGGTGACTCGACGCAACGCGGAACTTTTTCGCAACGCTAAATCTAAATGTTTGCCCCTTTGTGATACATGTACAATATTAAATTAGCCTGCATTAGAACCTGGCGAATCGTCAGTAACAAAGATCATTTGTTATATGTATCTACGGGGGTACTCTGATGTGAATGAATTCAATTATTTTGATTATAGAGTGCTATTTTCGATAGGTTGTTAGACGGTCGCTAGCCGCTTGACAACAAAATAAAAGATAGCAGCAATATTTGAAAAGGATGCTGAGATGATGAAAGGCTCTTATAATAAACGGCAGTGTTCAAACGTCGGGGGTAGAGAATTGTCACTCCTTGGCTGTTAAAACTAACTAAACGCAAGAAACAGCGGCGATGGAACTCGGATTAAGGGCGGAATGAACGAAAAGTTAGTAAGTCGATAACCAGTTGTATATTCCTTGCCTAATTCCATAATACCAAAGGACTCGAAACGCAGACGTAAATATTGGTTTCTGTTTGATCTGCGCTGGATAGTATCACATGTGAATTTTAATACTGAACTTTCGATATGGAAATGCAATGTCTGCAAAGGCTCAAAGTGTTTGTGTGGAAAAGCTATAAAACATTCTCCGTGTGTCTCTTCCGGAAGCTCTAACATATGTAGACCTCATGTTTATCTTTTCTCGGAACCTGAAGTGAGGCACAAGAGGTCCTAACTTTCTAAAAGGACAATTATGTTGCCGAGCACAAGCACATTGCCTCATATAATATGTATCTGCTTTCAGACCCTATGGAATCGGTGACCAATGTCATATAGTTAAGTATCTAATATGCAAGCAAACAGAAAGAAATTCGGAATATGTTCGAATGCATGCAAACTAAGTTTACCCTAAGTCCATATGTTCTAAAAGGCGTAAGATTATCTACATCGTGTTCTAGCTCATAGCTCTATATTCAGTAAATTTATATGCCGAAATTTTCGTGTAGGTTATAGTATTTAAAAGATTCGCTTCTGTGCGTTGTCCCACATAGACTGTTAGCATATCTTCATCTATCCACCTCTCCTAAACCTAACACCTTCGCTCTTCTTTTTTAACGTTGTCCTCTTGAATTTCATGCATTTTATTTAGACCCACTGGGAGAGGGCACGCAGCCGACCCTCTGACACCACCCACATCTTTCTTGCGTCGAGCAGCTAGGGAGCCGCGTGTTTGCGTGGTCTAGCTGGACCATTTTGTGTTCATTATTCGGTAATGGGTAGAGGAGTCTCAAAATACCCGAGGCGATTACGGCTGAGCATTGCTGAGGCTTAGGGCCACTACTGGCCGAGCAATCCCGACCCTTTACCGTCACCGTTGGCGTCTCTTTTGTCCCTAGATCTCAAGGTCGCGTCTCATTGATACCACCTCGGTATCTGAAAGCTTCTTGACACAAATCGCTATTGGCTCGCATTTTCGTTGTGCTTGTTCTAGGACGTTTTGCGCTGTGCACGTAGCCCACATTGTATCATGTAGTATTTTTCAGTCGCTTTTTACTGGATACGCATATTCATACTATGCAGTGTTAGTTCTCTGAAAAAAAATTGGCATAATCAGAGTAACGGCCGGACGGTCTGTCTGAAACGAGGGCTACCGCTACTTGCTCCTCTGGCCCTTTTACCTCCGACTCTTGTTCCCATCTGTCGGTTCAACGTTTCCATTCGCAAAGGAGACACCTTCCTTGGGGCGTCAAGCCACCAAAAAGGAGGTGTACATGGCCCGAATAGGGTTCAAAGCGACTAACAGCCATAGCGTTGCCGATGATGATCCTGAGCAGCATGGGGCATTACTAAGGACCAATCAACCCTTCCCCAAGAGCCACTCGCTTCTTCAGACTCGAGCATGGTAATTACTTTCCTTCTCTCATTCCAGTGTGATGAGGCAAAATCGACCTAAGTGCAACGTTCCAGCCACGCCTTCATGGCGTTCTTTCAATGGACATTTCATACACCGGTCGATACACGCTAGTTTTGTTGTTAGCTTTTGAGAGACCCAATGAGGTAGTACAGTTGGTAACTGGCACATTATTTCTTAACTTTTCAAACTACTTTACGTACACTCGTATATCCACCACTTCAATATCAGGAATGCATTTGAAAGTTGGGCAGATTTGGTCAAGAAAATTTATGAAAATACTACGCTATGCTATGGGCAATGAGCTAATTGATACAGAAACGCTGATAATTCGAGAAGCAAACTGCTAAAACTTGCAATTTTCATTTAACTTTTCAAAGAAATATAACTTACCCGTCAATAGCCCACCGCTAGCTCGTCTCAGTGATGATTTCTGTTGTCTTCGTTTGCGTCATTATTTTGCTAGGTGTATTTTTAGTTCCAAGTATTGTTAGCTTATATTATATAATTAGGAAGAGCAACCATCGTTCTAATTTATCTACTTTGGGTTAATCCTTAATAATAATAACTTACGGCTGCGGCGATGGTCTTTAATCAGATGTCGTTTTCCGAATTGGGTTTGTTCTTCTAGGCGTTATTTTACAGTCCGGCCACGTCCAACCCACTTCAGTACCATCTGGTTATCCTCTTCCTCTCTCGGTGTGTATTAAATGCTATCAGTCGCTGCCGAATGCCTTTAACGGCCTTTCCTTTCCTACGCTGCCTTCGACAAAGATACAGCGATGTGCCCTTTCTCATCATAAGCCCTTGCCCCCGGACTCTCTCTCTTGGAGGCCGCGTTCTCGAAAGAACAGCACGTTTTGCTTATCCCTTATGTATACTTCCCATGGCGGCAAGCCGGCGCCGTCAGCCTTACTCCGATTCGCCGGCCACGATACCTGCTCAGCATAACCAGCGTCACCCACTAGAAAATGTAAGGCGATAGTATCGTCGTCACCAACAGCTCGAATACAACCAGTATTACCGCGACTTCTTTCACGATGCCTAGGACGTAACGGTTGAGGTCAAATCTTTGTCGCCAAATTGTGTGGCTTGAGCCATAACAGGTTCGTTTGTGCTTTCGACCTGACGCGCGGGAACACCATTGTTTCCACATGTTTTTCGAAAGCATCGTGTTAGTTATTTGTCATGGACTCGTGTAGGTTAACAGGTGAAGGACCGCATAGCCTGTTATCCCTTAACGAGGCTGAAGGAAGGGAAGAACTTGTTCAAGCAGGTTAGGGAAAAAAAGGTCAAAAGAGAATAATGCCAGGGTAAGTACTTTGAGTAATTTGCCACTGAATAGATGCCGATTTATTTAGTCCCGTATTTCTGTTCTTTTCTCTTTTTCTCTTTATTTGCCTAATAGCAAATCGCTTACAGGCCTATTAATCAAACAATGCGATTTGTGTAAGAGCTTCTTTTTCTTCATATTATTATTTGTTGGCTAACTCCAGTTATTAATTATAACAGATAAGACCGTTACGAGGGTTGACCCCGTTCACGATGCTTTATGTCTGCAGTGTTCGCTGGTGGAGATAGAACTGTTTTACGCAGCATTTTGTATTGATTTGGTTCCCTGTTATCAAACAGATGGTCGAGGAAGAACATTCGGATGGCTAGATGCAGTTGCTGCAGGACAAACTACAGGATCATGAAGATTTGTCGCAGCGCTTTTCCGACCAATATGGTGCACAGACCTATGATATCAGTACGATTGCATAGATCGATCTGTCTACATGAGTCTGGACTGCATAAGCAGTCTTGAGGCTTCAACATTTCTGGACAAACCAGTAAACGCTGATGCCGGCGTAACAGCCACGCGGTTACGGTTAGCCCGGTACGAGGGGAGAGGAATGTGAGAAAGTTAATTACTTCAAGGATTGTCGCCGAGAACTTACCCACGCATGCGGGTATCACTCTACGAGTAGCGTCAGTAAACTGTTTAGGCAAAAGTATGCCATCACCAGAGAAGTCCACCGATAAGGATGCGATGACAGTGGACTTCGAACACTCTGCAAATGAAGAGACCGTGACACCAGTTAAAGAAGCAGACAGCGAGAGCGCAGTGAACTCCGTAAACTCTGTATGTCCAATTGGAGCATCAGCAGTTACAACAAAGCTGACTAGCCCAGACGTTAGCCGAGCAGTGAGACCCAAGTGTCCGGAGAGCAAATCGAAGGCGAAATCGCTTACATCGACGAATAATATTGCTAGCAATATGTTGGCCGACTGTAGAAAAAAGCCACCACATTCAAAGTGCGCAGTTACAATGCACGCAACAGTAGCAGCATCAAAACAGGATAACGCAGAAAATAATTCTGCATCTATCAACAACAAAGTGGGAAAACCAGCAACCGTGGATAGTATTAACGTTGTCGTTAACAACAAAGCGGAGAAATCGGTTAGTACTTCAGATAATAATCATCAGGACGACCAGGTGAGCAGCTCATTAAGTCCGGATACGAATCCCAACAGCAGTGTTGAAAAATGCATCACTCCCAACAGTGGTAAAGTGCCGCGGAAATTAGTGAGCCCAGATCTGTTGTCAGGATCAGCTGAGAAATCTCAAAGACCGGCCGCGTCTGCCAGCCATAGTGTTTCTGTGGCAAAGCCGGCAACCTCCGAGGTCGCAGTGAACACTCATATTAAATCGGAGGTCCAAGTGAATAAATGTGGTAGCCCCGAAAATGACGGAGAGGAAAAATCGCATAGTTATTCAGGGACGCTTTCAGTGCCCAGATCAGGGGGTTACAATTCAGTGTCAAGGGTTACAAGTGACCAGCTTGTAAGTCTTCAAGAGAGTACAAGTACGGCATCACATGATCGACTAGGTTCGCATAACCGCCAGGATAGCGTATCGGACAAGCCAGTGGTCAGTCCGGATCAGACGCTGCCAGACACATCTGAAATTACGCCAATCACACCGGACGTTCCTGAGGTGACAATTACTTCGACGCCGCGATCACTGAGCTGTGAGAGGGAGCCCTCATATCAACAGCATGTACGGACGCGACCGGACACGATCGAGGTAAACCATGCTACCCAGACGGACACACCAGAACCATCTATCGAAGCGGCAACGACCCATGATGATGATAATAATGCCCCCAAGCAGATTGAAAATGACACGCAGCCTGAATACGATCGCAGCACGCATTCGTACGAACCTTTGCCAGCAGTTCATTTACAACAAGTGGAAAACTCCGAAGAAAACCCACCATTGCATCCCCATCAGCATGCAATGAAACGGCCACCGCCACCCCCGATACCGCCACACCCCCCAGCCAGCATCGTTCAAAGAAATAACCAGAGCAACGGCAGAAAGCAAATGGCTACGATCCATACAGTAAAAGCGGTTACGACCTCGGCAGCAACTGCAGAAGTCGGGGTAACAACCCCAGTTAGTATCACAAGTAGCGCAATGATCCATGTGACTTCAGTGACAACGTTTCGAAAACAGCCCAATTCGGTGGCTCCTGTGAGCCATCCTCCCGTTCCTATCAAGCATCACCGACGCGCCTCACAAGGTCTCCTCCCACAACTGACTCACGTTGACCAGCTACTCATCAAGCAGCGGCTGCCCGTAGCCGAACGTAAGTTACTGGCGACACCGATCGAAATTTACAGTTTTAGCTTCTAACTGCTAGCTCGATAGCTAGTTAGCCTTAACTACTGTCTAGTCGTATTCTCTTTCTCTTTCTCTCTCTAAATATATATATATATATATATATATATATATATATATATATATATATATATATATATCGCATATTCCTGTTGATGTACAAATATATGCTTATACATGTAGTTGTGTCTGTATTGTTGTGCTGGTTGCTTTTACCTGTTTCTGCATGATAGTCAATTTTCCTAGCCTTTTATCATGGGTTGGCAATATTGCGAAGTATTTGAGTCCCGTTGCTCATTGTCGGTTTTTGGGACACACTCAGTTTTCGCTCTTGAGCGTACGTACACACTCAAGCCATAATAAGTAAGCCGGCGCTCGTTTTGGGCTTACGCCTCCGGTAATGTTCGCAAGTGCCGATTTTTGATGAATACCCCTCCCCCTTTTGCTTTCGTTTTAAATTTGGTGCAAGCGACTCGTGTATGCCACTACAAAGTTGGATCAGTTGGCAAGTAGAGACCTTCGTAGTAGTAGCGTAGCTAGTAACGCTCAGATTCCCCCAGACTTTCAAAGAATTTCATCCCATCTTCCCCCGACCGCCGCTGTGGGCCGTTGTTGGCGATGCCCAATCGCCTACCTCTACCGAAATCGCAGTCCTATCGTTCATGTCGCTCTTCATTTTCATCTACTGGCGCGCTCCTCCTTTCACTTGAGGGTGAATAATCATCCTCATTAACAACTCACAACGACATAATGCCTATGTCGCGTACGTTCAATTGCTGCGCACCTCCCTTTGGCATTTTCCGTCTTTCTCTCTTATTCTTTTCCTTTCTCGCTGGTGAACTGATACTCCCAGGCCAGCCAGATGACTCTTTGCCGCCAGCTCTTGCTAACGGTCGATTGCTTTCGTTGTTGCATCTAGGCTAGATTGCGCAAGCAGAATGCAGCTGCTCGCTAAATATTTTGTGTTTCTCCTTTCTAGTAACAATTCTTTATTTGGCCTTATTCAGCTTACTTTTACTTAAGCTTACTGCGCTGCCGCCGATGCTCGTTCTATTCAAGCCTGCACGAGCTCTCTCGCCTACCCGTCGCAAACTTCAGGACGCCTTGTCGTTCCTGTTTTCCTCATTTCGCGCTGACACGATAACGGGTTCCGTTTCTTCCTTCATGTATGTGCGGTCTATGTCGACCCCGTGGCTTTCCCCGCGGTATATGAAGCACAATCCGAGGCAAGCGTCACTGGATCGGAAGACCCGCATCGAAACAAGCCTAACAAGGAAAAAACGATAACTAAACGGCAAATCAAAGCAATGGAACGAAGAGAAGAGAAAATAAAAATACATGTTCGTACTAGTAGAAAAAGCGTAGCAAAGCTCTCTATTTTCGCTTCGACGACGAGTAGCCCTATGACGACGATTACTACTTCAACTACCATCAGCAGTAACAAACACGAGAAACAGCAGCGACTACCAGTCACGTTCAACCCTGAGAGTGGCCATGGCCGCGACCATGCCGGCACGCAGCGTTCACCTACCACAAGTGGCAGCAGAAGCATTGTCACCGCCCGCTGAGAATAATGGCGGACAACAACAACAGAGGGAAAGTAACAGTGGCTGTCGTAGTAGCTGTCGTGCTACTGGAAGCCCTGTTAGCGGTGAAACTTACTGAAGTATAGCCTTAACACGAACAGCCTCTGCGCACTGTCTGCTGCTCATGACCCAGAAGACCCACTCAAGTGAAGATGAGTTGCGAGCCAAGTGCCTGGTAGCGAGGTTTGGCTTGCCTGTGGCTCTGGAGTTAGCCCCGAGAAAGCCCCTGAGAGAAACTCCTTCACTTCTTAGGCCCCGCTAGTCCGAAATCAAAATAAGTTTTCCTAGTTTTCCACTTTCCGCCTGTTTCTACCTCGGTCTTTTACCGCTTGCAGAAGCTTCCTATTTGTTTCTGTCCTTATAAAACAAATTCGTCTTTCATTTTACTAGAAGGAGCATTCCCTGCAGCAACCGCAGAATAGCGACAAGTACGAATTACTTGTGCTTATGATAACCACCCCAGTCACTAGTCAGTGTGCCGCTTTTCGCAAAGGAGGGACACGTCCAGACGTTGCTTGTCGTGTCGTTCCGATCCGATTCGCGTGGGAATCCTCAAGGCGACGAAGGAAAGCAGTTGCACTCGTGGCAACATAGAAAGAGATACAGGGTAGTCTGGGCTACAGTTTGCTGCAAGCAAAACCGCGGGCAAACAGCGGTCGACTCCCACTTACTTTCAAGTGTTTCATGCAAGCGACGACCAGCTAGAAGTTAACAGCAAAGTCCTGAACGATTCCCCTCAATGGATCTCTCCTTGCAGCATTTATTGGTACCATCTCACTCTTAATACCGTAATACTACCGGTGCGACCTGTAGTTTCGCACTCATCAAGGACTTTCTTTTGCGGCTGATCAAGTACGCAGCTAGTCAAACTATAGCTAGGAGCTGATGCTGTCCTAAAAAACCCTCGATTGAATTTTCCCCAGATCCTCCGACTAAGCAAACGTCTAACCAGCTAGGACGATGACGACGATAAGCACGCCGCCGACGCCAACAGCCGACAGTCAATAGCCCAATGGCTTTTAGAATAGTAACGTCACAGCCATTTAAAAACGGGAACCTCAGCTACAAGCGCATACAATAGAAGCCAGCAATATATAGCACTAGCACAGGCCCCACGGTGCTCATATTTTGCTTCAGATGCCTTTCACATTGACGACGCGCTAAGGACCTCGTTTGTCTTTCGGGTTGTACCAAAAACCCCACCCTCCACATTACCCCCCGTATTATGGGCTCACATATACACCGCATTCAAATAAGCTATGGCAATGGCTATAGTTGTAGCAGACTAATTTAATAAATGACCATAGCGATCGTCCTATGCTTTATCTACACATCATACATCATACATGCAACACACTTATACATAAGGTTTTCATTTTATCGTTCATATGTATATGAACTGAATATATAGCAACCAAAACCTAGGAACAGATCGTGACAACCCGCACCACAAGTCAGTCGGTCCAGGCGCGCCGTTTTCTGTCAACGTTACCATCACCGCTGTCCGTATCTTTTCTGTTCCCTCTACACGACTGGACTCCTCTTTCTTTATACGTCTTATTGACCAATTAAAAGCGACGCCATCAAGCTCTGTTAACTGCGTGAGCGGAATGGTATCTCCGTAACAGCAGCCAACTATTAGAAAAATAACATCTCTTTCGCGACGTTACATGGCTGCGTTTCGGCGGAGGCGCCAACAATGGCGGCAGCTCCCTTGCTTTTAGCCTTTTGTCTTTTTACTTCAGTTTAGACAGTGTACAGGGCGATATGGCACGAGGCCGTAGGAGCCAATCGGAGCAGAACGGCATTGAGTCGCCGCCGTAGAGCGACAGATGGCTAACGATGATGATAGAGCGGTGGCAAAATTTTGATGTTTTGATTCTTCGTCTTTTTTCATTATTTTCGTCCTCGCCGTTCCGCTTGCGCCTAGTTGTCCTTCAACACGACAAGAGATTTCTGCTGCTACTGCAGCCGATGTTGCTTTGGGCTTTGAGACAAGAGACGTACACCCTACGTCAACGATACGTTGACGAAGGATGCTCATTCTGCCAGCGCTTTTTGTTACATCGCCCACGAAATTTCTTGTTGCTCATTTTTCCTCCATATTCCGCCCAGTCAACCCAACTGATTCTCGGCTGATTCAGACACCATCTGACAGTGGCTGGCGGCACAGTGGTGTGGCAACCCAGCTTGATGTCTGGCAATCTTTCCCTAGTTATTTGTCGTGCATTGAAGGCAGTTCCGAGGAGTGTTAGTGCGGCACGGCGCGTCAGCCAGGGAACCGACAGGCAGCCCCCGCTAGCTCGCTCGCTCAACCAGTTGACGACAAAATGGGTAGTTAAAAAGAAGCGTGTCTGGCAGCAATGCGGCACTGGCGGCCATGCACGGGCCGCGTTTATTCGTTGGCTGACTGACTGACTGACTGACTGACTTGATTCTTGTACGAGAATGGGGGCTGACCGCCTCTCGCGAGCCTGGCAAGAGTCGTTGAAGGTTTCTGTAGTGGTGACAAATGCGCCGGTTTCGGACGGCGAACAGCAGCTGCATCCGCCCCTCAGCATTTCCAGTAGCACCAGAAGCCGTGACAGTTACTGGCAGTGCGCTATTGTCGCTTTCGGAGTACTCTTCGAAAGTGAGTTTGAGCTGACGGCAGAGAAGGAAGAAAAAAAAAGAGGAAATCAGCAGGAAGACGGGCTGCATGGTTAAGAGATCTTGCAATCATCCCTCAGCAGCCTGGTGAGGTTAAGGCTGTGGCAGCTCGACAAACCCGTCGTTGACATCGTCCATCTAACCTTCTGTCTGTTTGGCCCTCTTCACCAATGGTCGCTTGTGGGCAAACAAATGGCATCACAATATTTCATTCGTTAGGGATACAAACGAACGCGGAGAGTGGAGTTGGGGGGGCGGTAAGAGGAAGACTGGAGGATGTTAGAAAGAAGCTGCTGCTGCTGCTACAATTGGTGGTTCACAGCCTTTACTGCCTGCTGTTTCCTAACAGGCCCCCCACTCACGACACACCCGACAACAGGGGTGAGACAGCAGCAGCTAGCAAACGGAGCGGGCCCCAGGCCGCCGGCTTCTTCGTGCAAGTCGTCCTTTGTTGTTTCTACTGCCATTGGGGTTAAGGGCTGCTACTACTACGGGACGAGATGAGACGAGACGATGAGTCTAGCAGTCTTGACAGTCGTTGATATTGCCGCGTTGCCATGTGGCTGCCACCACTGCTACCATAGGGGTGGGTTTGATGGGTACATGCTCATACCTGGCAAACGTTCCCATACCACGTACCTTGCTTCCCGTCCTGTCCCACGCCTAAGTGTAAGCCTCTAAGGGCCGAGAGTCAAGACGCAAAACTCAGGACCCGGCACAGAGCCTCGGAGCGATCTGCTATTGGCTAGTCTCCCTACGTGGATGCAGATGATACCGGTTATACGACACGGCCCAGCCTCGTTTAGTCAAATATAAGGAGGCTGTGCGGTGGAGAGACTTCGGAAAGATTCGGTGGTGATGATAGTGTGGTCATCAAAGTGGGGTTTTTGGTGCACATAATGAGGCAAAACATGCGAACATGTGAGGTCCACATGAACTGAGGAGTACAAACGTCACATAGCTACACTCGTGCAGTGCTAAGGAAACGACAGGTGAATAACGGCAGGAATTACTAAGGGAAAAACATGGCACCCGGTGCCCGAAGCGCGAAATATTTCCTCTCCTTATACTGGTTTCAACTCTGGCAAAATATGTATGCCTAGCACAAATGCTTTATAGCATGTGGTGGTATGCGCAACGATCTGGTGTCAATTCGTTGGGCCTAAATTGTAGGTCAGGTGTAAATATGTTCGGTTGATATAATCTCTTTACCTCGTTATAGGTACTCTGTTGTTTTATTTGACCGTTCGTATTATCTTGCTGAATGTGTCCTGTTTTTTTATTGCAACTAATCGGTTTCGCCATATCCTACCAGTTCTCAAGAATGTCTGTAAGAATGTATAATAACAAGATGCGAAAATAAAAATACAAAAAAAAATGTTTTGTTTATTCTCTAGAGTTATAAACACCATAAACCACTGTTCAGAATAAATCCTTTAGAGAAGTTAACAGCTGTACAGTAGATCGCCCAAACAGGTCACACCTTCCCTAATTAGTATCATGCTTTAATAAAGAAAGGAAGCGACCCTTGGCAATAAAGATATATAATTGATCGTCAAAACCAGAGAGGAAACACGATCCAGTTAAAACACCGCCATTTACATTCTGTTTACTTACTTATATAATTAAGAAGGAGCAAGCAGACAGATATACTCCTCTACAAGAGAGTAGCAGTAAGAGTGTACAGTTAAGTAACCTTTCTTCTAGGCTTTTTTTTTACCCTATTATTATTGTTACTTACCCGCAAATCTAAGCTATAGTAAGCGTTCCCCAAAATGGCACAAATCCAATAGGTTTTATTGTATTCAATTGCAGTACGGCGAAATTCCGATTTCAATAACAAGTACACACTGCGAACAATACTTGGCCAGGATGTATTTCGTGCTGAGGAAGCGACGACGTTATGCGCTAGAGATTGTTGTGGACCTGATCGTGCCTTCCACATGAACATTGTAGATCTTCATGGGCGTCCTGTAATAGCGCTCGAACGTCCGCCATGGCTCAACGTTTGCTGCTGCTGCCCCTTACTTCCTGTCTGCCAGCAGGTATAGTGCTATTTCTAGCCGTTCAATAAACTATGTTTGTACTATAGAGTCTTTGCAACGGTGAATAAGCCAGCAAAGTGGGGACGAAGACCGTCTTACGCAATGGACATTGGCAAAGAGACAGGCGACCACGGATTGAAGCTTGAAGTCAACCAGCTTCTGCGATAGTTGGTCTGTAGCCTACCGCGACCCAACGGAGGCTTGCTATTACAGTTAAAATAAATAAAGCCTAGTTAGTACTAGTAACAAATCAAGCTATTTAATAAGTCATTTCGGCTAAGTTAATCCTATCGAAATAGAATAGTTGAAAAAAATGCAACAAAGTGTAACATTGTAACAAAAGCAAATTGTTTTGAGGCACAAATATGTTGTTCTTTTCCAACTCGTTAGCAGAAATTTTGGCGCAGCAGTGGTAGGTTGATGCGTTCATGAACGACTCAATATAAGGTCGGCGACGATGACGGATGGCGCCTCCTCGTCTATACTGTATTTCTTTGCTTTGCCTATAAGCAGTACGCTAGTCTCACAAGCTTGTTAACAGTCGATGACCAACAGCCAAGTGACCGATATCTAATGCGTTGCTACGAGGGGTTTGTCTTCGGCAACATCTCAAAGTGTCAGCACTCTTCCAGAGTTCAGTTCTCAAGGGTCATCCAACCAGTTGGCTACCCACTTACCGGTTGCTGTGTCGGTATCGATTCCATTGTATTTAGACAGAGAATGGTCGGAAGCAGTTTGCGGTCTTCCGCATTTCCTCAGTGCTGATGTTCTCGAATCTTTCTGAATTTCTCCGTTCTTCAGAACAGATCACAACATCATACATAATCCTTTCCCGCTGGTCATAAACTTCTTTCAGTCCATTATATCTGTCGCCTATGCCTTTTCTTTGTTAGCAGAGTTTCCTTTAAGCATTAATGTGCGACAAAGTGAAAACGGTTGTGATCCCATCCAGTGCCATCCAACGACTAGGCCAATCTTGACCAATCTCCATTCTCTACTTTCTTTCGTCAAAAGAAAACGCTTGGCGAGCATGGCATTAGCTGTTGTGGGATAGGGTGGCCTCTCTCTCAATAGGTCATCTCGCGGACTTGTCTCAATTTTATTCTTCTTCTTCTTCTTCGGTCGTTTTCTCGAAAAGCAAAAGCGAGAAAAAACTGGAAAAGAAAAATTTATTCCAAAGGACAGTCAGTCCTCAGGCATTTGGAGTTTTCAGCCTGCTGCCTTATGGCGTCCTTGCAACGTCCACCGTCCGTCAAATGTTATTCATGTCACTCTTCGCATGCCACAGCCGCCGCTGCTGCTCATACGGCCGCTGGCGGTGGGCGTTTCTGCGTAAAATAAAACCATCAGTCTAATAAATTCCCAACGCCTGCTTTAGCATCTTTTTTCCAAAACAGATTCAGCTTTTGCAGGGCGCGAAGTGCATCTCTGCTTGTATAAGCGACTCTTTTGTGTCCCACGCCATTTAGATCAAAACTCAGAGTGGAACACATTTTTAAGTTTCGATTAGACACCACTGAACCGCTTACATATATATATATATATATATATATATATATATATATATGGGTAACACGTTTGCCTGCGAAATTTAGGAAGACGTGGCGGTCTATATTTGAGTCCCTGCTCTGACACACTGTTTCATTCTGGAAGAGGCTAACTGTCTAATGGAATGGCTTAGGCTTAAGTATCAATTGTAAAAAATTGATTGGAAAAAAATACGGCATTTTTTTTATTTAAGCTCATCCCTACAGTTTTCTGTGCTAGGTACTTAACTACTTCCGGGCGCATTAAGTAGACGCTGGCTTACTGTTGTACTAAATAACACTTCCAAGCGTCGGTTGTTTCCCGTACCTTCGGCATCGATGTCTTTAAATTCATATCTATAGCGGCCGTCGTGCCACTGTCATACTTCAGCACAGTCAGAGCCACTACAAGCAGCATCACGTATCTATCTAATAACTAGATTAATAGATAGTTGTGTATAAAAATGACACTCGCTGTCCTTTCGGATGATCTTAGTACTATACAAATAATGTATGCTACCAGTGCACGTTCTGCAATGTCGACGCCTGCGTAAGGAGCCGCGAAGGCTGGAAATAGGCGAATTGTCGGCCAAACACGACCGACCGACAAACATTGGTGCACTTATCCCTTGGTTCGTCCGTCCGCCCGCCCGCCCGCCCGCCCGCCCGATCGTTTGCTAGTTTACTGATTCCCCCATAACAGAGAACAGTTGGAACTCCAAGAGTCAAGTTCTCCCCTAAGCGCTTTTGCGAGTATCTTACCGCCGAGCCCCTTCTTTCTGATTCCCTCAAACTCTTAAAATACTCCTTCCAGTTTCCCAAATGCCGTTGCAATGAGTGACGCAAGTCTACTGCACGATTTTCATCGCACGATCACTTAATATAATAAACTACTAAGGTGAGAAATTGCAGAAGCTGGTTGTCATAACCGAGCTAGCAGTTACTGTTGTATCCAGCTGACTGCTCTGTCCCTTACGCGCGGTCCCTCCTCACTACTTACCTGCTCTCTCTCACTGTCTCATTTTATATATAACGTCATAAGTGCGCTAACGCAATGACCTTTCTTGTCATCGATTATATTCATAGTCTCATTAGTACCAATTGGTAGTAACGGTAATAGTAGTAGCGGTCATTGTAGTTGTTGTCGTACGCGGCTAATGGGCCGACTGAGGCGGCGACGGTGGCCGTGGCCGCCACTGGTGCAGACTTCGTTGCGAATTGCTGTTCGCCAACTTCCATTACAACTATGGCTATATAATTTTACTTCTACTGAAGTACTCGATCACTTTACGTTGGACATTATACAGTGCAGAACTGTTAATAAATGATACTGTTGCTACTTCACCAGCTTCATAAGGAGCTGTACACAGGTACAAACTCTGGTCCCTAATAGATTAACTATTCCACCTATTGCCTGCTTGATACCGATGGTCTGCGGGTGCTACACTGATTCTCTCTGGCCGCCTGATTCTAGTTGAAAATCGCTACTGCCAGCAGATGCAATGCTTTTGTATACGAGAATGGGCGCCTGTGTTGGCCTTTACATAACGGAAACATTGACTCCCGCATGACGAGCCTCATTGTCGTTACGTGTATATATCTAGCTAGGCACTGCTGCAGTAAAAACCTCAACGACATCCTTAGCCGCTTCTTGTCGTTAGCAGGGACCCACGAGAGTCTGTCCACCTCTATCCGATAGGCCGCCGAACTTTTCGTTATGCTGTGTCGTTACGAATACTTTTTCGAGGGGTTTGGGGTAGTGCCGAATCGTCACTAGGCCATTACAGTAGCCATGGTGGAATGATCGTTGCCGTCGGCGTTATTAGTAGAGTCCTTCGGAGAATCTCCGTCATGCTAGTGGCAGATCCTCGCATGTTGGTTGACTTACTTGCTTCCTTTGGCTTTGGTCTCCTGTATTGCCCGCTTTTGCGTCTCTAGCACTGTGAGCTTTAGCTGCTGCCACTCGTAGTTGCTACTGGCCAAATACAAAAGCGACAGCAGCAGGCAGCTAGATTTCACGACGACTCGAAGGCTTGGTAGTGGCGACCGACGAGATAAATTGAATCATATCCCTTCACACCCCGAAAAGTCCAGCCATCGCCGTCAGCCATTCGTCGTCACTCCCGCTGTTGGAGCTGTTGACTTACTCCTGATTCGTTGTTCCCTTCATTTGCCGGCTCCAAACCCTCTGAACCCCATATGCTCCCATCTATTTCCCATTATTCCTCTCCCCAAAACTGTACTGCCCGCTGCCTCCTGCTCCGAAGCCTGCCTCATTACGGGCTGCCACATCGTATGCGATCTGGGCGATGCGGAAACCAAGAGGCTCCGTTCCCTACCGTTAACTCTTTTTAGTCACTAGCAGCGTCCAGGGCGGCGGCGGCCGAGAGGTCCATCACGATTTGCGCAAACCTTGGCGGCAATCGAGTCGAGGCGCGCAGGGTCCAATACGTCCCGATGGCTGTCATCAGTTTATCGCGACCAAGCAGCAGTAGTTGCGAAGGGTATGTAGAACAGCAAGTAGGACGCGGCCATAACAGGAAACCGCTAACTACGCGGCATCACCGTAATGGCGTTTCTGCTGCTGCAGCTGCACTAGTGTCTTAGGAGCAGCAGCAACAGCAATCGGCACTGTCCTGCTCTCGCCATTAACGAGTAGTAAACGGCACTACGATAGCAAGTAAGGATAAGGCCGCTATAATTATAGGCAGAATTGCTGTTGTTAGTGCTGCGTGCTTTAATGACAGCGGCAGTAACAACGAGCCCAACGTTTTGATCAGTATCACTTACCGATTTCGTGCAGGACGTGAGCTATGTGAAGTTAGCATAAGGTACAAGGAGGTTTTCGCAGGGCAATGTCCAATACTGCGCTAGTCGATGAGCAAGTGACGATTGCTGTCGACTTTCGTACCGTCCCCCGACCCCGCGGTCGTCGCCGTCACAATTACCTTTTCGTATATGAAGACTGAGCCTTCTTCTATGCATTCCCTTAACTTTCTCGTACTGTATGATGTGTTGTTGCTACTGCAGCTTTTATATCCACGACAAACGCGTGTTCACAGCAGCACCGCCATCACGACTAGCCCCACCACCAGCGCCATCGCCCCTGCCAAACTGAAGAACGATCCCTGCCTGACCTTTTACTCCCGTACATTACTTCCGCACTTCTAGCCTCACTGGCAGCAAAGCCAACCAGCCCTATCCCAATTACCCTCGGTCTGTTTATCTGCTTCTCTGCTCAGCTTTAGCAATCTTGCATCCACCAATTGCAGACCACCGTTCTACAGCTTTTCTCTTTCGACGCTTAATCCGACGCAGGGTAGTGGGGCTAGCAGCAGTCGGCCATAGCAACGATGAGAAGGTTTACTGTTTATCCATCCTTCTCATGCCCACACTGTTCCATTTCTAGGCAATAACAACACCAGAACCAATGGTAGCATTCGCTGCATCAGTTCGACCAGAGACGATTCAGTC